TATATATATATATATATATATATATATATATATATATATATATATATATATATATATATATATATATATATGTATATATATATATATATACATATATAGTTTTTTTACAATTTTTTTTCCGTCATATACAAAATAAATAAATAAAATAATTGTATATCTGCGTAGATGAGGCCTAAAAATACACATACTCTTCGTCTCTATTTCTGTATTCTACTTTAACAATATTTTAAATTTGTTCAATATGTATATTTAATATTTTACTCCAACAATAAATGATATCCGTGTTGGCTGAAGCTGATTTTAGCAGTGAGGGCCCATTCGCACCATAGCGAGCATTTCCGTGCGCTGGGTTCATTGTGCTTCCTTTCATTTGAATGGCACCCCGGCCATTGTGCGCTGTAGCCGAGTGCAATGTGCGGCACTGCAACGCCACGTGTGTTCCATTGTCGCGTGGAAAGAAAAAATAGTGCACAAGGCTTCTCCGTTGATTCGCTCCCGCAAACGCAGATATGACTTATTTTTCGTTTATTTAAATAAAAGTAGAATTTCTTTTGAATTGGGTATTATAATGAGGCCGGTTTGTCGGCAGTTTGTGTATTTTTACTCTACTTAGGGGCCCATTCACATTTTTTGCACGCGTTACGTTGCGCATTGAAAATAATGGGCAGCCAACATAGCAAAACTTCCCGTAAATCAGACGTGTCACAAAATGTGTAGTGCAATGCAACCCATAATGCTGCAAAGCATGTGCGCTACCTTAGTGTGTAGGGGGTGCCATTCAAATTGGATGTAATGTGCATTGGTGCGTGTTGTGGTAACGCACGCTAAGTGCACATTACCACCATGCAAAGATATGAATGGGCCCTAAGGCCCCATTCACACTAAGCGACATACTAAGCGGATCCGCGCTGCCTGGATAGAGCGACTGTTCGGGGCGACGATCGCGCAATCTTCACCGTCGGGCTGCATTCAAAAATAGAAAAATCGCGCAACATCTGCGGGAAAAATGGTCCCGCTGAGTGCCCATTCACACTGAGCCGAAAATCCTGCGATATCGCGCATTTTTGCAGCGTCATATCGCGAGAAGTCGCCGGCCAATGTTATTCAATGGAGCTGTTCTAATGTACAGCTCCATGTCGCCCTTCGCTCGTCACTTCAGCAGGACCCTTCTTCCCGCGGATGTTGCACGATTTTTCTATTTTTGAATGCAGCCCGACGGTGAAGGTCGCTGGAACGTCGCCCCGAACAGTCGCACAATCCCGACCGTGCGGATCCGCTTGTAGGGTATGTCGCTTAGTGTGAATGGGGCCTGAAGCGACGAGCGACATGGAGCTGTACATTAGAACAGCTCCATTGAATAACATTGGCCGGCGACTTCTCCCGATATCGTACGGCAAAAAATACAGCGGCGTAAATCGCGGGATTTTCCGCTCAGTGTGAATGGGTACTAAAACAGGTTTGCAAAAAATGAGATACTGTAGAGAAGCTATATTTTATCTCTACCCCCCCTAGCTCTCTCTATATATATATATATATATATATGTATAGTATGTGTAACTCCCACATGTATTTCTTTCATTCGAGGTATGGCGGATTTTGCCCTCAGTACAAGTACAACCTGGGCAAAACCTACGGGAAGCTGACCGCAGATCTGCTGACCAGTCCGGATATCCATCGCTCGGGACACCTGGTGCTACAGTCCTGTCCATTCCCGCCACCGCGTTACAGCAGCCATATAGAAGGTCCGGAAGACATCACCAAGAGGAGGAGACCCCGCCTAGGAGACAAGAAACTCTCATGGAGTATGATCCCAGGATACACAGGTAATGTGGCCCCCTGGGGCTCATTCCTCCCATCTCACGCGTGTTTCGCACTAAGGGCCATTATCACACCCTTACATGTGGTGCATTAAGTAACGCATTCATTTTGAAGTGGCAACAATGCACTTAAAGTGTGTGTAAACCCTAACAATGAACTTCTCTTATTTGCTCCTTTTTGGTGTGCTGACTATACCATTGAAAGTGTTTTGTTATATCTGTTCAATAAGTGTAAAAATGCCCATTGATCCTGCCAGGAATCTTGTAAGCTGATAACTTCCTGTTATGAAATCCTGAGGAGGAGTTATGGAGATGATGAAGGGGAGTAGATGAGAGGAAGGGGTTATGGAGATGAGAAGGGGGAGTAGATGAGGTGGAGGAGTAATGGAGATGATGAAGGGGAGTAGATGAGGAGAAATGGTTTTGGAGATGAGAAGTGGGAGTAGATGAGGTGGAGGGATTATGGAAATGAGAAGGAGGTTATGGAGATGAGGAGGAGAGTAGATGAGGAGGAGGGGTTATGGAGATGACTAGGGGGAGTAGATGAGCTTGAGGGGTTAATGAGTTGAGCAAAGGGAACAGATGAGGAGGGGCAGTAGATGAGGAGGAGGGGTTATGAAGATAAGGATGGAGAGTAGATGCGGAGGAGCGGTTATAGAGATGAGGAGGAGGAGTAGATGAGGGGGAGGGTTATGGAGATGAGGAGGTGTTTTGGAGATGAGGAGGGGTTATAGAGATGAGGAGGGGGAGTAGATGAGGAGGAGGGATTATAGAGATGTGGAGGAGGGGTTATAGAGATGAGGAGGGGGAGTAGATGAGGAGGAGGGGTTATGGAGATGAGGACACGGAGTAGATGAGGTGGAGGGGTTTCGGATATAAGGCGGGAGAGTAGGTGAGGAGGAGTGGTTATAGAGATGAGGAAGTGGGGTTATGCAGATGAGGAGGCGGGGTTATGGAGATGAGGACAGGGAGAAGATGAGGTAGAGAGGTTATGTAGATGTGGAGGGGGCATAGGTAAGGAGGGGAGTAGATGAGAGGAAGGGGTTATGGAGATAATGAAGGGGAGTAGATGAGGTGGAGGTGTTATGTAGATAAGGAGGGGGTGTGGATGATAAGGGGCTATGTAGATGAGGAGGGGTTATGGAGAGGAAGAGAAGGAGTAGATGAGGAGGGGGAGGAGATAAGGAGAGGTCAGTGTTCTATGTAATCCATCCGAAATGAAGTAGGCAGGGCTGACACCACGTACATAGAGATGCAAAGCTGCGTTGTCAAGTCAAAAGGAAGGTAGGAGCACACAAGAATTATGAGACATCATCATCATCATCAACGTGCAGCTCGTAGGAATAAAACATGAAGACGTGTGCATGTATTACAGACATGTACTAAATATGTTTTGTGTTTTTTTGCCTTGACATACATTTTAAACCATACATGCAACATTTGTTTGCTCATTGTTCACATTTGTGCATTGTGGGTGTTGCAATAAACTTCAGGAACCGATGTCACTTCCCCAACCTGGAAAGGGGTACCTCAGTGCTTTTACTCATTTGCACGGTGCTGCAGTCTAGACATGTGCACTGCCAAAAAATTTGTTTCGTTTTGTTTCGTTTTAAATTCGGATTTGTGTTATTTCGTTTTTCAGGATTCGGGTGTGAAAGTCAATTCGGATTCGGACGAAATTCGGTAGCGTTAGTACGAACGTTCGTTTCGTTTTCTGTTCTTATTCGTTTCTTATTCGTTTCCTATTCGTTTCTTATTCGTTTCGTTCGTTTGCAGCAAAAGTGACATTTGAGGGGGAAATAAACATTTCTAATGTCACTTTGCTCCAACGAACGAAACGAATAAGAAACGAATAAGAACAGAAAACGAAACGAATAAGAACAGAAAACGAAACGAACGTTCGAAAAGGAAACGAACGCTGCCGAATTTCGGAAATGGAAATTCGGATTCGTTTGCATTCGTTATGTCTGTAATTCGGAATTCGGATACATCCGAATGTCCGAATTTCCGAAAATTCGTCCGAATTTCGATTCGGAACGAAACGAATCGCACATGTCTACCGCAGTCTGAGCAGGGGTAGGGGCCTGCTGTCCAGTGGGCCAGTCTGACCCAGGGTGCTGAATGGGGGTCAGTCTGGGGGTAACACCTTTCTGTGACACTGGTGCTGTTGCATCCTCAGGTTTCATCCCCAGATCGCAGAAGTTCTTCGCTAGGACCTATGCTGAGACCACTCGGGACGCCCTGACGGACTTCCAGAAGGATCAGCACCTTCAGGACAGCCAGAGGCAGGAGCAGATACTGACCAGCAAGCTGCAGAGCGGACAGCAACTGCCCCACACTGAGCAAGAGAAGCAGGTGAGGTACCAGATCCCCCATCTGTATATGTCTGTAGAATGTAGAAGCCCCTCCCCCAACTCACATACGAATGTAAATGTGGGTGCAACGGGTGCATGCACATAAACAATAATTGTGCAACGCATATTAGGTATCACCGCGTGTGCCGGATTGAGAGAAATAATTGTAGGGCCATCATTTCTGGTTATCTTTAAACTGATAAGGTTTTTAAAGTGTCACCTATGGACATTTTTGGCTGATATATTTTTTTCCCTGTTTTACTGGCACATGCAATATTGAGGCCTGACATACACTATATTGCCAAAAGTATTGGGACGCCTTTACATGCACATGAACTCTAACGGCTGAAGACCTGTATCCAAACCTCTGTCATTATCCTTAGTGGTGAGGCAAGTTGTTTTACATGCTGGTTTGTGAGTGTGCCATGATGCCTTTCTGCTGTTTTACTGGTCACTCCAGAGAACACGTCTCCACTTCTCTAGAGTCCAGTGGCGGCGTGCTTTACACCGCGGCATCCCACGCTTTGCATTGCACTTGGTGATGTAAGGCTTGGATGCAGCTGCGCGGCCATGGAAACCCATTCCATGAAGCTCTCTACGCACTGTTGTTGTGCCAATCTGAAGGCCACACCAAGTTTGGAGGTCTGTAGCTATTGACTCTGCAGACAGTTGGCGACTTCTGCGCACTGTGCGCTTCAGCATGCGCTGAGCCCGCTCTGTCATTTTACGTGGACTACCACTTCCTGGCTGAGTTGCTGTTGTTCCCGGTTGCTTCCACTTTGTTATAATACCAGTAACAGGTGACCGCGGAATATTTAGTAGCCAGGAAATCTCACGGAACACCTGAATCCAATGATTTGGAGGGGTGTCCCAATACGTTTGGTAATATAGTGTATTTGGTATCTATTTACTGAAATCCGTCTCATCTTTTATTTATTTATTTTAATTAGGACATATATTGTGTTTGTGTCCATTAGACCTAATCAGCTGCAGACCGGGGGGCAGTTACCAGCTGATTGGGTGGCAGCGGATAGAACTAACTTCCATTAGATAGAACCTGGTCCAAACCTGAGCTCATCCCTAGTGCCCATTATAATTCATTTTTGTATATTTTGTTACTAAAAAGATAGTCATGCAAAACCCCCAGGAGGACTCATGTCTCACGCTATCCGACACTCGCCCCGAACTCTCCCCTCCCACCACAAGCTTGGGGTGTTGGCACCCCCGCTAGCACAAGAGGACCCATGGAGTAGGTTTACACAGAAATTATGTCTGGGATCCAGGGCGGTCCCTGGTGGGCATGGGCCCCTCTGTTGATCGGATGGGTCTGGCATGGAAGTACTGCTTGTGCCCACTTATTGGTGGCCCTGCTGCCAGGTGCTGAGATTTCAGGTCTAAACAATTAATAGGTACATTAATGATGCCCAGCAGATGTCAATGACTGCGGGGTCAACTCAGGTCTGAACATGGCGCATCTCCACTCATGGTCACCAGTCCAACATGTATTTATTTGTACTGGCTCAGGAGGTAAAAGCCCCCAGTCCATCGGATCAGTCCTCCCCAGATGACAACGAATGATGAAGATATCATTGCATATAGTGTTTTTATTTCACTGACACCTTTTGATTCTTTAGCTCATCACAGCCAAGTACCGGACTCCACTCCCTGCGCTGTCTATGGAAGCAGCACCCTACGTCTCTCCCGGGGCCTACCAGATCCAAGTGTCCCCCTACTACATGGAGGATGAGAACCCACATAAGTACTTCATCTCAGGTGAGGCTGGAGACTGAACCTTTCCTCTGCATGGCTGAAGATGAACAATTGCACAGGCAATTTTTTTTTTGTGTGAATCATGGCCTACCTCCATCCAACCTAAATCCAAGTTTCTTGTCACTGGTTTGAAAGCTGAACTCTGAGATAAGCAAATATCATCCAAATAAAAGAGTCCTGTGTATTCCTCTTGAATCTTGGTGAGCTTTGTGTAGTTCTTCCATAGATCGCTCACTGCTGCTCTCTCTCCTTGTACAGGGTGACTGGTCTTGTCTCCACGCCCTCCTGTAATAAAGACCGGGCACTGTTGCTCTCTTTTCTTGTGCAGGGGGACTGGTCTAGTCTCCACACCCTCCTGTAATAAAGACCGGTCACTGCTACTCTCTTTTCTTGTGCAGGGTGACTGGTCTAGTCTCCACACCCTCCTGTAATAAAGACCGGTCACTGCTATTCTCTCTCCTTGTGCAGGGTGACTGGTCTTGTCTCCGCCCCCTCCTGTAATAAAGACTGCTCACTGCTGCTCGCTCTCCTTGTGCAGGATGACTGGTCTTGTCTCCACGCCCTCCTGTAATAAAGACCGGTCACTGTTGCTCTCTTTTCTTGTGCAGGGTGACTGGTCTAGTCTCCACACCCTCCTGTAATAAAGACCGGTCACTGCTATTCTCTCTCCTTGTGCAGGGTGACTGGTCTTGTCTCCGCCCCCTCCTGTTATAAAGACCGGTCACTGCCTCTCTCTCCCCTTGTGCAGGTTGAATGGTCTTGTCTCCGCCCCCTCCTGTAATAAAGACCGGTCACTGCTGCTCTCTCCTTGTGTAGGGTGACTGGTCTTGTCTCCACCCCCTTTTGTAGTTTACTGTAGTAGATAGGTCCTGCTGGGCCCTTCCCACAACTCTGCTCTATGCCCAGGCTATATTCAGAACAATGATGGTGTCACTGCTATATTGACAAGGTAATATCTAGGTTTGGAAAGGCATTCAGCTCACACAGAGTGGATTTATATCCTTTCTGACTATTGAGGAATATAGATGAATGAAGATATTTGTTCCTGGAGTTCAGCTTTAAGGAAAAGTGGTCTTGAACAACACTGGTGGTTTCCCTCAATACTTTACAGAATCCTGGCATCCCTTTTCCCACAGGTTACACCGGTTATGTTCCTCGGTCTCGCTTCCTGATTGGCACCTGCTATCCCCTCACCACCAATAGAGCTATGCAAGAGTTTGGTCACATGACCCTGAAGAAAAGCATGAACGTTGGAGGCCAGTCAGAACCACGGGAGGGGAACAAGGAGCAGTCGGATCAGGGTCACATCTACATGGAGGAATTGGGTCTCCTGCCCCGCTACACAGGATACGTGCCAGGTCAGGATATTTCATATGACATTCTCGTTATACATACCCCTGGCTGGTGATGAAGGCACCAGAGACGTCCATGGGGACCATTTTGAAAACTAAATAGATATTGGCACATTTCTTTTAGAGAGAATGGGGATTATGACAGCTGAGCAATTTTCCGGCTCCATTCCCCCATATTTGGCTGATGGTGAAAATAACCACCAGACAATGAAGGCATTCTAATTATTGAATGACAACAAGAATGGATTATCCAATTGATATAACAGTTCATATAAAGCTACTTGGCCTTTGGTTCTGCAATCAGCAAATCTCATGCTCTCTGCTGATTGGGGAGCTGTAGTGCGGGGACATGTTGGACCTCTGCAGAGAGACCCAAGCTTCCTCACTGAGAGCACGGGTCCCTCTCTGCAGCATGCTGGAAGGCGACAGGCTTCTCTACTCAGAAAGTGGCTGCTTTGCTTTCTAAAGAAAACCAACAGCTTTGTTTTGTGACAGCTGGCTCTGCCTATCTAGAGGCAGAGCCAGCTGTACCCGCCCCCTCCCCCGTCCGTTCTGCCAGTCAGCGCTGGAGGATCGGAGCGGGGAGGGGGGAATACATCCCCTCCCCTGTCACGGCAGAGAGCCGTGACAGGATCGAGAGGTGAGCGAACGCCGGTATGTGTTCTCTCACTTCCCAATCTACTGAGCCGACCTGTGACAGTCTCATTGTCACAGGTCGGCTAGAACTATGAGGTGAGTGAAAAGCACTCGCCTCATAGTTCTCCTTTAACGGCTTCCCCTGAGTGCGGTTTTAACTGTCCTTTTCCCAAGGTCCCGAGAACGTTTTTAGGGTTTAAGAAAAAAGAGCCCTCATGGTGCAGATTCATCTACACACGAGGAGTTTTTATACGCTGTTTTTGAATTGTATATGTTGGACGAATTTCATATATCCTACATGTAAGTTGCTATTTTTAATAAATATTATAGTTTTAACGTACTGCACCATGAGGGCTCTTTTTTCTTAAAGACTAAACTATGGGGTCAGGGCTTTTCCCCCATAGTTCTCCTTAGG